GTCATGGAAAAGGATATAGATGGAGATGATATCAGTAAGAGATGGATCGATGATGTGGTGGAGTGGGAAAGTTGGGTGATGGTTTACGACAGGCAGAATATTACGACTAACTCACTAGCTTCGATGAAAAATTAAATGAAAAAAGATTTCTTTCATTTTCACCCTAGCCAACTATTACTAGTAACCTCCTCAACTTCATCCTTCATGTGCGTACTCTTCCTTGATAGGGCTCATGAGGCTCATTGAAAAGATCGCTATTGCTCTAAAACTTGGCAGACCATTATGTTACATTGTGTATTGACACATAATGGTGTGTTATATTTCAATTGGATTTACCTGTATTTATTGGCCAGCATTTAATGGACTGAATGAAATGAGTGGCTGGCCCTGGCCCGGCATCGGTTTTTACGATAGGCGTCGCCTGCTTCCTATTATACATATTTACATTCTGACATGACTTGGATACCGATAGGGCAGTTTAACGAAGCCATGCCGTAGTGCAATGGGACGAGACGAAGAAAATGCACGGTGGTGGCCTTTGCATACGCTACTTCATGGCGACATGTGGAATAAAAATCCAGTTAACACTTTAACGTTCAAGGTTCTCATGCCTCCTCACTAATGCCTCGTTATACAGCTTGGTCCGCACGTCAACACTTCAATCACAGCATCATTGTGAGGGCGTTGAAAAAGGATCACACTCTGTTATACTTCATCTTGTTATGCTGTTCTTTAAGTGGATCGTTGGTCACACTTCACAGACAAGCGTGAGGCAGGATTTTTGCTATCAGATATTTGCCACGAGTCTCATTGTCCTCTGTTGAGCAGATAAAGTACAGAGAAACGCCGAGAAAGTGAAGTATGTAAACGAATTTTACCGAATGTTGTTTAGTGGGTAAACTAGCAAGCTGAAAAGTAAGTAGGGGGAGGTGGAAGTAAATTGGCTAATTGACTGAGTTAGTAAATGAGTAAGTATTGACTGTATTTGTGGTAAGCAAGTAAGCAGATAGATAAAACAGTTCCACGGAAACACGTGCTGGCGAATCGAACGCGACATCTTTCTACTTTTAAGCAATATTCGTTTCGCAGTATACGCTTTCTCAAGTCACCCAGACGACGGTGAGGCCTAATGTTCCCATTGGCAGTTGATTTAATGATATGCCCTTCGTTTGTATGTCGTGAGTCTTAAGGACATGACGAAACTGCTTTTTATGAACTACTCAAATTTCTATGTAAGGTTTCCTTTCGTTATTTTTCGCCCGCGAAATTTATATATTTGCTGTCCAGACATCCCCTGGTATTTCATATTCCCTTGGTAATACAGTTGCAGTTGGTTTTTTGACTGTTTTAAGCAGGTTAGGAGCTTCAGATTCTTAAAGCAGAGCAAATTATTTGGATGACGTTCCGCATGCATTGTTTTCTCTCTGACATCCTCACCACGTATCTTAGTTCTTATTATCGGCATTGTTATGTCTTGATCTGAAAAGGAAGTGGCTCACAAGCCGATTATGTCATATTTCCGTGTTTCGAAGTTACTTCCATAAAAGAATCATTTCTGTCGTTTGCGTTTCCGAAGTCAAACTTCTTCGGTCATTGTCTAGCTCTATCCGCATTTTATTGTCTGATGCAATTACATGTGGTATATCCTAAGACTCAGCAGTCGTTGTAATACCAATCATTGCAGTAAAAGTTAGCGGTTCTGAATCGAATATATTAAACAGCCTGTACCTTGTAGTTTCATTGCTCGTTTTGAGCTGGTCCTCGTAGAACACCCTGAACCGGTACGATTTTTTCTGAACAACAGCAAAACAATTTATGAGATTGGGTTAGCGATAAAGCATTTCAACATTACGTTGGCAGCCATCTTAACGTATACTGGATATCCTGATTCAAACAAGTCAGATTTCTTTGAACAGTTTCGCTGTTTCAGCTTTGCTTCGCCTTATGTGATGGTGTCTGATTGTTGATTCGATTCATCTTGATTAGCCGGTATTCTGTTATCTCATTAACTAAGTCAGTCAGTGTTCTATAATTTGAGTTTTTTGGCTGTAATGGTGCTGATAGACCAAAGTGGACCAAAATGGCCCCATCTTTTTGGATGCGACCAAGTCTTTAAATTCCGCCAGTACTACTTGACATTTGCCGCAATCCATAGGTATTTATTGATGAGCTTCATGCCATGCCCGTCTGATATTGTTTTATGTTCTCTCCACGAAAATGTCTTCATGTAGCGAATTCCCAAGCGTCCTTCTTTGCCTGGTTCTCCTAGGATGACGGATATATCGATCGTCATCCCTGAAAGACGATCGATATATCTTTCACTTACTGTACGGCGTCATCAGCAATTGCGTTCAAGTGGAATAAAATTCAAACTTAGTGTAACTAAAAATCTGATTTCGCATATTTCTGTCAATCGTGTTCCTACACATTCCATCAGTTTCTCAATCATCAGTGAACCACGAGTTCAGACTCTGACTTTTGATGGTGGCGGACAAGAGGATGCTTAGTAGACGGCAAAATGCTACCTAAACTTAATGTGTCGCCTGATGAGGTGAATGTGAATTACACGCAAAACAGAAGCATTTGTTTTATCGCTCAATTATAACAGTTATAATACAGTTAATAACACAGTTAACGATCTTGGTTGAACGCTACAGCGGCCCTACTTTTGATCAATATGCCATTGTAAATAGTTTTTCGCGCCCATTCACCTCCGGAATCGCCTTTCCACGTTCTACCAGTCATTTCAAGGCTTTTTTCCCCTTGACCCTTTTATTTTTTCAAACACCTGTTAGCAATGATTCCGTGTTTTTGTGGCGTTATTTGTTTTCATTGTAAAACAGTCTCAATGTAATAAATGTAGTATACTAGTAGTAGTTGCTTGTTGTTGTTGTTATCGTCACCTGAGGTATCAGGGTCAAAGGCTGACTACCCTGCTGAATGATGTCTGACGCTTTGCGGACTGTGCAGTAAGTGGTGTAGGTCAACAGGTACGAACAGATTTAGCACCAACAAATCTGACGTCTGGTAGTAGTAACTAAATAATAGTAAGTTCGTTTCGATGATCGCTTTTCCTTTCGAGTCGCGGAGGCTTACGCATCATACAGTGCCACTAATGTTTTCGTTCTTGTGCCAGCGTTTGAACTTCGACAGAAGATGAATCGAGTATACAGCAGAGTCCGTACAGGCACTTGCCAAAGGTCATTTTTGGCTGTCGTCCGGGTATTTGACAGGTCATTTGTGAAAGGGGCAACTGTTTCACCTTCCTTTCTGCAGGCATTCATAAAACGTGCCTACCATCGCATTTGTGACTTCTCATTCTAGAGTTGTACACCAAGGCCCTCTTGGATGATTTCTGTACTCCGAACCATATCGAGATGCGAGAACTCAGCGATTCTTTGCAAAAAGTGCCTCTCAGCCGTTGTATCTCATAAATACATATATTTCGTATTTTAACCGAATAATACAACAGAAGATATATTTAAATGCGATGTTATTAAATGTTGATTTAATAAATGAATGTTATTAAATTTTAATTTAAAATCAGTGTGCAGATCTGTTCGAAATTTTTTTCGAAACTACCAGCTGCTTTGGGTATGTCTACAGCGTTCCAGTTGTGATACATTACAGTGTATAATCGTTTGAGGCAATACTTGGCCAACGTTACCGTCCTCGAATGCCGGACTGCTTGGACTGCTTAATTGTCGTACCGATGTCCCAGCTTTGCAAGATGTGTTCTTGCGTTTCGAGACTTGAGGAACGGATTTTTGCCATTAATCCGTTTTTGTTCTGTCTGATGACGAAGCTGGGGTTACCTAAAACCGCCTTACTATTCCAACGTTGCTGTTCTCCACCTCTTGGATTTTACAGTTTTCAGGAGGTACCGCACAAAAAAGAGAATCACGAACAAACAGCACGTTTGGTTTGTGTTCGAGTGGCTGCAGGAATTTTTTTGCGCTAGTCGCGACGAGCGCGTGCTCAAGTGCTTTAGTAGGTATTTGCCGGAGTCAGAAGAATGAGAACGGCTTTATGTGTCACCTCGCGTTACCATTGATTTTGTAGGATTTCTTTCCCTCAGCTCGAATTTTTTCCTTCCGCAGCTTGCGCGACAGAAGCGGTCACATTAATGCCCATTATTTTGAGTTCAGTCTCATCTTTGCACCTCGGAACTCTTCCTCATTGTGCTGTATGCACGATTTCATCGGTGTTTGGCCTGTTATTTGTTTGTTCTTTCCCAGTAGCAAAGCGAGGACGGTTTCACATTGTCTCGTTACTCGATTTCTTCCTTGCCTTTTCGTTCTTTGTCTTTCCACCGTAAACGCTACTTACAAAGAAAATTCACTGAACCGAGATTAGCTGAACATCAGTCTTGAACCGAATGTTCTTCACCCGAATCTCAGTGCGTTGGAGTTGCTGATTTGATCTTTTATACAACTTTCATCTGAGATGAAAAACTGAGCATTGTCTCTGAACAATCTTCCCGTGCCTCATGCTCTCTCCACATGATACTGAGTAACCCTGTCTCATGGCTTACCGGAGTTTTAACTTTTTTATAAGTGGTTTAGGACGCATACGTTTTCAGAGTAAAAATTGCAGGTACTTCTTCACCCGTCATTCAACATTTTTTTTCTCATATTTTTTCCTCGCCGACCCACCTTGTTTCTAGTAGTTATATGTACTTCTGCCAAGGATTGACGAACGCAATTTGTACATGGGTGTTCACTCATTTTTTACTCAGTTACTCAGTCAAATGACGAAGTGTGATTTATTCTTGAAAATGTTATAGTGGATACAACGTTCACTACAGGGGGCTGTGATGCAGTGGTTAATAAATTACATTTCAGACATGCAAGATTCAAGTCCCGTCATTGCGAAAATTTTTCTTATTAATTATTAATTCCCTTGAGCAAAGAGTTTATTCTGTCGTGTTTTGATGAAACGAGTAACCACTAACTGGTCTGCGAACCA